ACGAATATTTTCATTTCATATTCACTTTGACTCTGCACATAGCTTGAAAGCCTACAGAGAAAACAGAAATCTATAAAAACAATGATTACGATTACATCGTGCGCTTAGTCCGCGACTTATACGATTTAATCTACACTGAGAGAAAAATGTTTGGCATTTGTAACTATAATCACATATTATTATTAGGTGTTGGAATTAATTCGTAGCGTTTTACAAGTGATGGGAAGTATTTTCATTAATGTATTTTTTAATGCTCATGTGAAATAAATAACATTCTTTCATTTAAAAACGCTACGAATTAATTCCAACACCTAATATAATTATGATTACGACTGCTATAATAATAATAACAATAAACTATGTATATAGTTCTAGCACCATATGTATATAGTTGACAACCTAAAATGACTATAATTATAGTTATTATAACCATAAAATAGTTGAAATTACCATAAAAATAATTCAAGTTACTATAATTTTATAGTTATATTTTGGGACAATCATAAAAAATATGATATAACTATATATAACTGTAATTATAGTCATTTTAGATTGCCAACTATATACATTTGTTGCTAGAACTATACATAATAATAATAACAGTAACTATATACATAGTTACTGTTATTATTATTATAGCAGTAATAATCATAATTATAGTAATAATTATAATTACAAATACCAAACATTTTTCTCTCAGTGTATAGATTAAAGACATTTTTATTGAAAATAAATAATATATCTCAAAATTTAATATCCACAGACCATAATAAACGCGCTCAAAATATCCTATAAAATATTTATAATATTACTGTCACATAACCGGAATTATATTGAAATATGTATGCTCTGTCAAATAGATAGATTTATAAATAAAAAATGTATATCTTTCTAAAATATTTTTCAAAATTTCTAAGTTTCCTTCCAATAAAATTTGAATATTAAAATGACAAAAATAAATAAAATTCATTTTTTTTTTACTTAAAGTCATTAAAATAGCCGGTTATAATTGAGGGTAACGATTGCTTATTGGAGCTTTTTTTTAGTTTATATTTGAATGAATATAAATACTCGTTAAATATTCATAGTTTTTTTGTAAATAAATATTTTTTGAAAACTCAAAATTTTAAATGAATGATTACATTTTTTTTTATGTGAAAATTTTGAATAAATATAATTTGGAGCTCCAATTTTTTATATTCATTAGGCACACTACTTGTATTTATATCGTCAAAATAATATTTACACGCACGCGCAATAGAATATTTTGAAATATTCAAAAGCTTTACGGAGTCTACAGATACATAGGATATATCAATGTATTAACAAAAATTTCAAAGCTTTTACTGATACTATATTTTCCTTTATCCAGATTCTGTACTTTAAGAGGATAAAACGAGGAATATATAAAATATATAGGGATAATACAATTTACTTCTCCACGTGGAAAAAATGATTTTGCTAAAGCTTCTAAAAATTTAGATACATACAGAAAACAATTTTGTTGAGCCATCAAAATAATTAATATAAAAAACATGATGAGCAATATTATTGCAAAAAGTTTTGCAACATTCTATAGTAACTAACTTGAGCATCCTACTTAATTATTCTGGTATTCCAATAAAATTATTTTCAGGTCTGGCTCAATTTCTAGATACTTCAGTAAAACTGTGATTTCCATGTTTATTTTTACATTACTATCCTTTTATATATGTATACTCATAAATAACGCGGAAATCATCTTTGCATACACATATTACGTTACGTTTATCCCAAATCTCTCTTCATTCGTTTCCGTTTAAATGCGAAATCGGCTTAGGTACGATAAGAACGAAATCCGTTTGTTACACAAATCTGGAAACGCTTTTGGCACAATGAATATTCTTGAATCGCGTTGGCGACCAACAGGTAGATTAATTATACGTATATCGCTGTATAGGGTCGATCTAATCCGCTTTTTGAAGCCGGAAAAAGGGAAAAGTAATCTTCAAAGCGCGCAAATAGAAACGAAAGTCTAGGTTTATCGACGTTTCCACTGAAAATTAAACTGTGCGCGCTCGAGGGTGCTTTTCACGTCTTCTCTCTCTCTCTCTCTCTCTCTCTCTCTCTCTCTCTTTCTTTTTGCTTCTATTGCACTTTCTGTCTCTTCAATCGAGTGCTTCTAAATACTTAAAACAAATATCCGGCTGTCAAGAAGTAGTTTCATTGAAAACTTGAATCGTTAGTGATACACCAACACAAACTTTTTATCGTACAAATTTTTCGGAAGTTCAACGCTTGCGATAAATAATATGAAATGATATGTATTATTATGGCTTATAGTGACCATCTGGACATGTTTAATGACTGTTTTCACTTATGTTTGGCAAAGAGCTATACATACAGCAAGTGCAAACAACTTTACAAATCACTTTTCTTGATGTATGGGCCTCCCGACTTTGCACGTGATTTATCGTGCTATGTGCTATACTTCTTTTCCAGCGCCAGGCTTTTTATAAATTCTTAAATGTCAATTTTATTTTCAAATTTTTATTCTAGTTCTTAAGGGATTAGATAAATACATTTTTCAAGTAGTGATTCTAATAACTAAAAAAGTTTTCTAATATTGAAAAAACAAAAAAAAAATCAAATTAATAAAATGATTGATTAATCTACTTTCTAGTTGCAATATTAAATATAATAATGAGAGTAATATGGGAAAATATATCTCTATATATATGTGTAAATCTTTCAGAAAATGCAAGAAAGATTTTTAACTTTTACAATGACTTTATGTCTTAAATATATATAATTCATTAAAAATATCTACTGTGAAAACATACAAAAGGAGGAAATTAAAAGAAGTATAAGCATATAATTGTAAAAAAATATGATATTGTTGTATCACAAATATTAAAAAACCTTTGCATTCAGTAACGTATTAAAGATAGCAAACAAAGTTAGTGAAATTCGATATTTAAAGATTAACAAATTTGACGTTGAGTATTTACTGAACGTAATCGAGAATCCCAGCCTATTTAAAATATTGTTTGTATATTGTTATTTATCTTTTCAAATATTTCAATGCATTAATTACCATGAATTTTTGAAGATCGTCGCGTTGAATAAATTATGCGAATACCGTGCATTTGTGAAACCTTTTAAATAATTGCCCAAAGTTATTTGGGGAAATATTCATCTTTACAAAAGATTTCTGTAGTTCTTTAATATGAAATTTCGACTCGTGTAGCTTGTCGGAATGCCGCATCTCTCGATTACGTCGGAGATGAAAAATAACGTATATATGGTTAAAAAGATATATATAATACAGAATCTATTACATTAAAATTGTAATATATATAGGCAGTTAAAGATACTCACAAAAAATTAAACTCTTCTGCATCCACCTGTCGGCGATGACACTTGTACAATAACATATGATGTTCTGTAATGACTGATTATAAGAAGTAGGTTACTGATAATGATCATCAGTTAACATTTAGTTTTAATGATCAGTTCTTATATCATTCTAAAAAATTGATTAGACACTGAGTGCTTTCGTTACTAATGACTAATTTTCACTTTTTCGCTAGTTTGTCAGTTTATAATTAAAATATTGTGAAAAAAAAACATATATAAATTTATGATAGTAAATTAATACCTAGATGAATGGAAGTTACTGGAGAATTTTTATTTTAAAGTTTGTTTAAAAAATTAGAAAAATGAATATTTGAAGAGTTATTAGTGAATTCGAGAAAAATCTTATTATCAACTGATAATAATAATAATAGCGCTTTTGACTGCAGTTGATTTGAGTCAACCGGGTTGAATTAATGACGTCACATTCTTTACTATTAGTTAACGTTACAATTAAATACGCTTGTTACTTATGACATTATTTTAAATTAAACATCAAATTAAACAATTAAAATATGCTATCTATTTACTCCTCTCCACTTATTTCCACTCCCACTCTTGTAAAAAAATACATAATTGTGAAAATATACTAAGTAGAGCAAGTATGCAATGTCATTAACCCAAATCAGTTCAAATCTGCAAAAACAACAAATTTCCGAATAATTTCCATTTATTGTAATCATGGGACAGAGACCTCAAAATTATTTTAAACTTTCAAAATTATTTTATATGAAATCTCTATGTATAATCCGATAATTACATATGCAACCATGAAAAATTATTGTATAATATTAAATAAAATTGTATATTTTATCAAATAATTTTATATGTGGTGAAAAAAATTATTTGTAATCAGATGAAATCTGTATAACAATATTTCAACTAATGATTATAAAATGATATTTAATTTGATGATACATATAACAATAATTTTATTTTAAAATAAGAAATGAATAATATTCTCACACAATATACTACAGAAAAACTAAAGTAAAGGCACCTGTGCAACGTTTACTCATCTTACATCGTATACTTCGCAGTTGCATAACTTAAGGCATAATTTGTTTTATATCAGCGAATGCAATCGCGTGTTTTATATCACAATGCAATTGTAAGCGTACTTACTATTCTATTTATAGTATAGATTAATGCATGTTAGCACAGAGGTGTATATATAATATTAATAATTAAGATTCATATAATATTTACACTTTTTCTTTTATTGAAAGGCACGCATTTATTCTAAAATTCTGTAATATATATAACATAAACTATGTATATGAGTACATTTATCGGCAAAAGTGAGCCGTAAATATTGACCTTAACTTATTATTATTGTAATATCTTCCAACTTTATAATAATTAATTTTATTGTTGAACAAGTTTACAATGTAAAAACATATTTATTGCATTGCATATTTCATCATATGATATTATAAAAACATTGTTGCAATTATTGGCATAATTTTATTGATAAAAGCAGGTAACGTTTTATATATAAACCCAATACCTATCGCCTCTTGAATGCTATCTATCATGTATATGCAATATGGACACAGATAAAACGTATAACCAACGAAGGTCGACCAGTACTGCAAACGATTCGCTTGTGACCACAGTGGACACTGACGTTAACAATTATTTGCCAATTATATCAACCGTTTCAGATTACTTAGTCTGGCGAGTCGTAGAAACGTTTGTGCTGCTGACTAAGAAGAAAATAAGTAAAGCGTGAGTAATGTACGAAACAGTACAAGAAACAGTTGAAAAAGTTTATAGAAAAATCAATTTTTTATGATTAATGGTAAGTTTTATTGTATTTATTATTTATATATATATATATATATCTTGCACCAAGTAATAATTTAGTACAGTTTCTGTAGAGACATTGACATTATAGCCTAAGTAATAATATAAAATAATGTTAATTCATATACATACATTTAAATAGCAAAATGACGTTTTAATGACGTCTTATTGAAATAAAAGGCATCATTTGATATCATCTTGCTACTTAAGTGGTTGTTATATTATTATTTATTTGATAAAACTTATTTATTGCACAATTTATAATCTTACACATGTTATCTTGCACTCTAGATAACGTAAAATATAATATCACAAATGATAATGTATTTGTAAAGATATTGATATTAAAGAAAATTTACTTCGCAAATTATGTGTACTTTTTTGGATATATGACACAATACAATAGATATTTTTTTGTTCAGCATATTTGCCTTAATCTGATTATGCCTTGTGTGTCATACAACTACTTCAATTTACTGAATGCCAAAATAATTTGTCCCTTATGTTACATAACATACTTGTTATATATATTATTCATCACTTTATATAGTTTCAAATATACGATTTGATTGACTACGCACGCAACGATTATTCGTTCTAAATCCCCCGTTTGACCAGTATATTTTTCCACAAGAGTGGGAGACAAGTGGAGAGAAGTAAATAGACAGCGTATTTGATTAGTTTGAAACAGAAAGTCACACAGTAGTGACAAACATATTTGATTGGCGGTTAGTGAGTGGTAACGGTATCGATTAGAAAGTGTTTGTTTGTGACAATGTGATTTAAAGACGATTGTTGGCAATTTAGCTCTCGATAGTATTTTTTAACATTACTAATTTATAGTAAACCGTGTGAGAAATCATTTCCGTGATGACTGAAAACAAAAAAAATGGTATTAAACAACAAGCTCCAGATGGTGGCTGGGGTTGGTTTGTTTGTCTTGGAAGCAGTCTAATTACGGTAAATGTTAACAGAGTTATTATTATATTACACTGTTGTACAAAATTTACATTATTAATTCACGTCTAATAATATCTGAAGAAAAATACTTATGTTACAAAGAAAATGACGCAGCAAAATTTATTATTAAAAAAAAAGTATTATGTACAATGGAAAATGGTAGAGAGAATTACTATTTTTTCCAAGAATTCTCAATTTCATAAATACATTTCACAATACATCATAGTTATGTCATTTTTTTTTTATTTTTATTATGTTATATTAGATTATTAAATCTTTAGTTCTATGTATATTTATTAATAAATAAATTGAAACATTAAGTGTAAGACACACAGTGAAAACAATATAGAATTAAATTAGAGTTAGAAAAAGTATTAACATAATATAGAGTTTTATAGAAAATCACACAACTTTTACTCATTTGCAATAATAATAATTGTATATACGAATATACATATATATATATATGTATATATACATGTGTATATAGAAAAATCTTATTTGTTATATTCTATCAATAACAACGTAAATTACAGCTCTCTTTGCGATCCTTGGATCCATCATTCGGATTACTATTTAAAGATCTGTTGGAGAATCTTAATGTCGATTCCACATGGACATCAATTATAATGAGCGTCTTAGATGCCATTGTCAATTTTTCAGGTAAAACATGATTTCTGTAACATTCAATTTACAAAAATTGTAATTATTGTGTCATTTTTAAAAAGGAGATTATTTATTCTTATTAAAATAATCATAAATTTACAGGTTTTTTAATTGGTCCATTATTAAAAAAATATTCTTACCGACAAGTTGCATTTTTTGGATCTTTGCTAAGCTGCAGTGGTTTAATAATTACATCGCAAGCTAATAGTATACCATATATCATTTGCTCTTATAGTGTATTAGGAGGTATATAAATACATAAATATATGTAGAAACTCTCTAACAATTATATAACTTTGTCGTCTAAAAGATGCAAATTTTTATAAATAAAATTCATTTTATAACTATAATTTATCTTATGGTAGGTCTAGGTACTGGCCTTGCCATGGCTTCCTCCTTCGTCGCATTAAATACGTTTTTCGACAAAAAACGTGGACAAGCAGTAGGCTTTTCCATGGCAGGGAACGCGTTGGCAATGATGTTTATACCATTGGTAAGTGATGTACATAGATACTTGCGAAAAGAAAAAATTTTTAAATTATTTGTACAATTTATTTGTACAGTTAGTACATATACTACTGGATATATACGGATTTCGCGGCACAATACTTATCGCTGGAGGATGGGCATTACATTCTTTAGTGGGATCATGTTTGTTACGTCCACTTGAAGCACAATCGCCGGCACCACCAGTCGAGGTAATTATTTTAATCCATAAAACATTGAATTAAGTAGTTCCACATATTTTACATCCCAAATTTTTATATTAAATTACTAAGAAAAGGGTATGTGTATTAACTTATTTATATAATAATATTATTAAAATCTAATAATACATATTTCTTCTTAGAAAAAGTCTAATGAAGAACAAGAGAACGAAGCCTTATTAATGAAACCGAATCCTGAAGCACGAAGGATGTCAAATGGATCAATGTGGACCAAAGATCAAATCGCAGACATTGAAACACTCTCACCTCAAAAGAAATCGTTCATGAAGAAGCTACAAACATATTTTGACTTGGATCTTCTCAAAAATTCGATTTACTTAAATGTCGCTTTAGGTTGCAGCTTTTTTTACGTGGCTGAGTCAAACTTTAAATTAATGACTCCTTTCTTTCTCTCGGATCTCGGTGAGAGTTGTAAATGTATAACTTAAATGTAATCAGTACCGTAGCAAAGGATGTATATTATCTTGTTAAAAGAGCTTCCCTGTGTTCTAAACATGGAAATATTGAAAGTTATTCGCGTTATATATAAACAAATCTGTTTAGAGCAATATTATAGGGACCTTGAAAGGCATCGATCTCAGCAAACATCCTCGCTACGGCACTGCTCGTGAGTTATATAAACTACTCGTAGGAACATGACGAATGACAGGACTGAAACAAGCGGAGGTAGCCTTTTGTCTGTCCCTGACTGCATTCACCGATATCCTCGCTAGACTGCTTTTGCCGACATTATTCGACAAATTCGGTTGGAAAAAACGCATAATTTTCTGGATCTCCAGCTTCCTCGTTGGAATCACACGCTCCAGTAATTCTGTGCCATTAAAATTAAAAGAGCTTATTATTAAATTTCATTGCTATATATAATAAGCATTTATTTATATTTTATTTAACTATATTCATTCAAAATTATATTTAATTATCAAAGTAATTTTTTTTATTAAAAAAATGTGATATTTATTCATTATCAAAACAGTTGGTCAATAATAAAGGCTTTAATGTAATTTTACAAAAACTTATGAGCAAGTAGAGAAATGTAATATTTCTTTTTTTTTTTATACAGTATTAGCGGAACAATCAGAAAAAACACCGTTGATTGTCACATTAGTAATAGCTGGATTTTTACGTGGCGCTACATTAGTGAATTTAAATCTTTGCATATCTGAATGTTGTACTTTGAAGAAGCTACCAAGTGCATTTGGTATGTTTATGGTGTTTAAAGGTTTATGTGTAATCACTATGAGTCCTTTAATTGGTACGTTTTTATACAATAATATAAGAGGTAATAATGTTTCTTATGTATTAAAATAATAACGCGTAGATTAATTCCTTATTTTTTTGTTAAAAAAGGATACATCAGAGACGTCAGCGGTAGCTACAAAATCTGTCTTCACGTGATGACTGCCATGATACTTGTCACATCTATCGTGTGGAGTATTGAATTTTTATATCGTGTCTTTTGTAGACAACTTGCTATTGTTAAGAAATTACAACAGAATGCAGCAGAATAACATTTTAAATTTAATATAGTAGTCTTATAAAATTATCTAATGTACTTTTATCAATTATGTCAAATTCTTTCAATTTAGTACGGTATAAAAACTATTCAAATAAATCATTCTTTATCAAAGTAACTTTTTCTTAGATTAATAATTTACTTTTACAACACAATTAGTTTTCTATTAAAAAAAAAATAATTTTTGTGCATTAAAGTGGATCAAAGTACGTAAAAAATGCTCAATGACTTCATAATTTGTAATCTTTCCGATGAACTATATCTTATCTACTATAGATGCTACATTATGTGTATTTCTACAACAGACATTTTTCTTCTGTTTATTCGCAAAATTTCCTTTATCAGTTATTATTCTTTACATAAATAAATGACTTAATCATCATATTCTTACATAAAATTGTCCGAAAAAATTATCAATTTGAATACGTTTGAAAAATATTCCATTAATAATCAATATTTATTTTCATATCTGTTAATGCTCTTTTCTGAAAAAAAAAAATGCATTTTTATACATCAAATTACAGCAAAGTGCTTCAATAAAACGAGAATTATGACTGATATGAGAAGTGACATAGCGTAAGCAGTGTAATAAGCAAGCTTGTGTCATTGTTTACACTACATAATGAGACACATTTATTAATTGAGTTCATAAAAGTGACTATAAATAATAAGTATTCCCAACGTAGCACTGCTCGTGTGCGTTTAAACGAGTCAAAACATTACGAACGATCGTGCTCGGTCTTGAATAGAGTAGTGGAGCCGGTTTTCATCGCGCTTCTTTCTCTTCGGCCAGTCTCGGATCGTCCTCAGTTCGTGCCAGAACATATCTTTCTTGGCTCTATGCGCCAAATATCCATATCAAAGCATGTTAAAAAAATCTTATTTAATATTTATATAAATTTTTAAAATTGACATACACGTGAGTGTTAACATTGTGATAGTACATTGCGCCATTGAAAAATTTTCCAGTTAAGAATACACTCCGATATAATTGCTTGCTAATACAAAGGCTTAACAACTTGATTAAACGTTTTTGCTTGATTACAAAGTAAGCAATTCGCATGAGAAAAAGGGAGAACGACTGATTGTGAGTCATTAAGAAGCCAAGGCGTTATAATAAAGAACAAACAGAATAACAAGTTAAACATATTGATTTAGTACTTCTGTACCGTTTAATAACTAGTTGATTAAACAAATTTGTTTTTATTTGCACTTTTTTTTAATTACTAAAAAATTTTTAAGAGACATAAATAATTCGAAACAATGTCAATTTTATTGTCAACTTACAAATAAAGTAAATTTGTAAAAAATTGTTAAGCAAAAAAATGTTATCGATAAAATTTTATTAAAACTAAAAAACTATTTATTATAATTTAAATAACTTTAACGTCGTTATTCTATTTTTTGTTATAGATATAATAGAGCTCGGTAGAGTCAATTGAATTGAATTACGACGAGTAATTGTGAACTCGTTCTTGCTATTAAATATCATTTTATTAATCAATTGAAGAAGTATTTGATAGATTACACAGTTACGACAAAAGGCATAAATATATGAATATGTAATAAAAAATATAACTATTTTTAATAAGAAAAAACAATTTATATGTATACATAATATCATATTATATTATAATTACAATTTATACGTGTATATAAATTATATTACATTGCAACTGAATCGAAATGAGAGGGGCTTTATCCGCAGTGCATATCTTATCACCTGTCCAATTAAATTTGTGATTGTGTGTTCGTTGTCTAGCAGTTGTTTGCAGTTTGTCGATGATACGAACACGAGCTACAATGGAAAATCTCTAGAAATTTATGCTCTCTTGATATACTCGCAGAATAGTGACTGATACGATTAATAGAAACGATTAATAGAATGGCAAGTGATATAACAGATCAGGGCTGGGCATGGGTGATTGTCGTTGGCGTGACTATTATCAATGTAAGTTTTTTTTAATAAATGAAATGAGATTATTTCCTATTGCTACATATATATATATATATATAATTTTATTCTATATTTTATTCTCCAATTTTAATTTTAATCTCAAAATTAGTTTTAATAATTTAAAGCTTCTTCTAAAACAACAAATAATAAATAAATTTATGAAAATCATTCAAAAATTTATATATACGAGATATTTCCTTTAACTCTCTCTTAATTTTTGATTATACGAGAAAATACTACAGGAGATCTTGTTCAATTCGAAGGAGCACATATTATGATGAGCAACAATTTTTCTGAAAATCATTTTTTTTTTAGATTTTAAAGTCACCTTCAATTTTTAAATGGAATTGTATGATTGTATTTTTTTTAACAATATGATTTCTCTAATTATTCTGCGAGTTATATAACATTTTATGTCAATATGAAAATAAAATATAAAATATCTCGTAAACAATTGGTTTTTTGTATCACTGCCTGAATATTTTTATATGCAGAATAATTAAAGAAACACATTGTGTAAAAAAATCATACAATTCCATTTATAAAAGTGGAGGTGACCTTGACGTCTAAAAAAATATGAGAACAATTTTTTGCTCATCGTCGATCTATGTAATATAAGATTCTCTGTGATATTTTCTCGTATCATCAAAAACAACGGAGACATTTTAAATGATACAGAAAACATGTATATATCCTGTTGATATTTGTAACATTTTAGTAATAAATTTGATAATATTTTATTTTTTATAGGACATAAAAGTCCTGTGTAAATAAAAATGTAAATTTAGACATTTTATTATTATTCTAAAATTCATATTTTTATTTTCTCAAAAGATTATATAATTTTTTTATCCAAAAATTTCCTAATAGATAATATTCTAGAGGATGCGATATTACGAAATTTAAACGATACAGTTTCATGAGAATAATTGCAATTTCCTTTGTTAGCTAGCCGTACTCCCAGTCCAGCAATGTTTCGGCCTTATCTTCGCAGAACGTTTCGCAAGTCTCGGCATCACTGCGACGCAAACGAGTCTAATTCTTCATCTTAATGGAACAATAACATGCAGTCTCGGTCTTATAAGTGGTCCAATGATGAAGAGATTCGCTTTTCGCCAGGTCGCATATTTCGGCAGCCTGACAGTCGTTCTTGGAATCTGCGCCGCTGCTTTCGCCGTGTCTCTCCCGACTCTTATTATCACTTACTGCGTTATCATTGGTAAATAATTCACGCTATAAAATATCAAGGCGTGAATGAGAACTGTAATATGACGAGTCATTTAATCGTTTATATTGAGCACCACTGTATTCTATTGAATAAAAAGGACTTGCGCAAAGTAAGGCAATAATATTATGCAAAGTAAAGGAATCTTTAAAGCATAATTGTTGCAACGTATTTTTTGTTCAATATTTAATGACGCTTAATGTTACAGCTTTTAGTATTTTAATAATTTCAATTACCAGAACAGATAGTAATGTAATTGAATTATTGTTGGTCTCTAAAATCGCTTTATAATTAAAAGATTTGAATTCTTATATATTAATTACACAATTATCGTTTTCAAAAGTTGACAGTTAATTACAAAACACATATATTTAACAGGAATCGGCCAAGGAATTCTTTTTCCAGCAACAACATTAGCTCTGAACACATATTTCCGCAAGAAACGCAATGTAGCCATGGGTTTTTCAGTTACATTAACTGGTCTGGGTCCAATTTTAATGCCCCTCTTAATAGACGTACTTCTCGAAAATTTTGCCACGACCGGCACTCTCCTGATCCTTGCTGGAATCGCCTCACATTCTCTGATGGGTGCATCATTATTAAAACCATTTAGAAAGCAGACAGAGGTGAGTTAAAGGTACGTGAGCAATGGCGTAATTTTACACCAATCTTATTCATTTTTCATTTTTTTCATATTTCGGTCTATTATCATATCAACAATATGTAAAATGTAAATTATATTTAGATGGCTCTCTTTCGTTTTTCATTTTTAGCAAAGTGTTCTGATAGACAAAATTACTAATATATCGAAAGAGGAAAATTCATGTATTGATAAGACAAATGTGGAAAATAATGCTATTCAATGCCGATTATTGAATAAACGGAATGCTGAAGAGGAAAAACAACCGAACTATTGTCCGGAGAATAGCGAAACAGAAGTGAAAAGAAATAAACAAACTTCGTTCCTTAAAAAAATTGTTACAAATATGGATCTCGATCTTCTTCGTGATAATCGTTATATAGCGATAGTATTAGGTACGAACAATTGATTTCACAAGTCTTGTCGAAGTAAAATTAAAATCTTGAGAGATGTATGTAATGCTTCAAAAACAGGTATGAGCGTTTCGTTGGTGGCCGAAACGAATTTCAATGCAACAATACCTTTCGTCCTAGCCGAATTGGCGAATCTCGACAGAACGTCGATAGCTACAATAATGTCGATTCAAGCTGCCGCGGATATTACGGGACGCCTTTGTGTACCGTTGTTGGCACAAAAAACCGGCTGGACCTGCAGGAATCTTTATGTATTATCTCTGCTGGGATCGACCTTTGGAAGGACTAGTACGTACCGCCACGATAAAATATACGAATCCGAGGAATCTCTTCACGAGGTGATCTTTGGGGTGGGTTGATTAGATAACTAAGTGCATATCGTATGACAATCGATAATATTTACAAATTATCGATCATAATTATCAAACCATTGAATTCACAATATTAATTATATTGTAACATATCTGAATACTATATTTTAGTACATTATAATACATTTTAATATTATTTGATTATTTGATTAATATTATATTATATCTATATGGATTTATTTATATGCACTCTTATTGATCTTTACATTTCCTATATTTTATGTAAATTTCTGTATAAAATCATTTCTCATAATAGTTTTTTGACAGTTCTATCGACGTGGGGTGATACTTACGTCATTGTAATCGGAGTAGCCCTGATCATCGGATTAGCGAAGGGAACCAAAGCTGTCTTCCAAGCTCTAATCATTCCTGATTACGTACCATTGGAGAGGTTGCCGGCTGCATCCGGTATTCAGATGGTTTGTA